ACAGCCTGAAACCCCGAGAACCCCACGGCACCTCACCCAAAATCCCCTGAACCCCCATCATTAGACCCTACAAAAGCGGCCCAGGAGCATTGCTCAGCCGTGCCTTCTGGCCCCGTGCGTGGGCATTGGCCATGAGGGTCGGAACTCGCGCCTGGCAAGGCTTCGAAGTTCAAAAAAAGCCCTTCGGGTTAAGGGTGGAGGGTTTAGGGTTTAGGGGTTCAAGGTACCAGCCACCTCATCTTTGTCATTTGGGAAGATTTCAGTCATCCCCGTGCTCTTGTGGACTTTGATTAGAAGCGCTTCTTGTTTGGCCTTTGCCTTGCCATGGGGATTTATAGAGCACCGCGCTCCATGGTGTTTGGGACAAAGGGCTTTCGGTTTCGACGCGTCCAAGGATGAGGGCAGGGCAAGGCTCGGACTGCGGAGGTAGGCGGGAAAAGGGTGCGGAGATCTGGGATCCAAAGTGGAGCTAAACGGTGCCTCATCGCTCAGTTTGGAGATTGTGTGGAAGGATGCTTGGATGGCGTCCTTATACAATGATAAGTACCGGAATATATACCCAATATCCCAACATCCCAATCTAAGAAGGCACCTATGGCTATCTCTCTTCTACAGACAGCGTCCAGGCTTGGATTCTAGGCTTTGGGATCTAGGATGATGTAGGACTCCTTTGACATCACAGAAGCACATGGCGGCGATGTACCCCTGATGCCGAAACAAGCTTCAAACACATCCTGGGAGTGTCGTAGACAGTTCCAGAACAGGGCAGCCCCAAACCACTCACTGAACTGAAACACTTCGGCACCCTTCAGTGTGTTTTGGCCGAAGAAAGGATGAGGATTGTGAAACTAGGAACAATCTAAGGGATCCTCGGCCTGCGTGGGGATCTTCAGCTCGATCTTCCTGCATCATAGCAATCTTGAGTGAGCTAAGGATCGAGAGATGCCCTCCCCAAACCCAACAAACCGCGCCTGAAGCCCCTCCTCAAGAAGAAGACCGATACTTAAACAAAAAGGCGTACTCAGCATACTGAATTAGTAGGAAAGCGTCTTCGCCGGAGAGGGTGGCTCCGGAGAGGCCGGCGTGGAAGGAGTTGGCGCCACGTCATCGTAGATGCCTTCGGAGGGCGCCTGGAAACTATGACACGCAAACCCGACCCGAGACACGTAACCTTAAATAGCCCTAAACTCTCAATACTGCTTAGGGCTCAAGAAACTCGCTTGATCGATTTGGGCTTGACTGCAAGTCTTTCCGAGCTGAGGTTTTCGTGTACGCCTTCATACATGACTCTACTTTGATGCGTCACTCACGGGCAAAACGAAGCCCAGTCCTGCTCAGACGCTCCAGCATCCGGTGAATCCTGTGCTTCGGGCTTGGAGCTGCAAGGGAGCAGAGGGCTTCGAGTCAAAAAGGCCTGGGTATCCGATCATATGGGTCTCGGCAGTAGAGTGAGGGGTCTAATGCGAGGCTAAGACCAAGGGTGGGGGCGTCCTGCTGATACGCTTGCAACTCTGGCTTGGTCAGGCGGTACCGGGTAATCTCTACGTAAACGTAGGAGCTGAGGGCCTCCTCTCCTCTAGGGAATTTGCAGTGCAGTGCATTCTTGGAGGCCTTCATTATATTACGACCATGGGTAAGTTGCTACATCAGGGTCGTGAAAGCATGTGGGGGGGGGGGGGGGGGGGCATGCACAAACGCCAGGAGCGAGGATTCGATAGTGTGGGGTCGGGCGTGGAGTATATAGGGGCCTAGATCATCGGAGTTATGGCATATAATCATAAAGGGACTCCAAGGCCAGCAGACCTTGTTACCAACACGGCACCATAGCCCATTATATCCCTCTTCAGGAGTGAGCGGCGAAAGCCTGAAGGCTTGGAAAGAGCGCGAAGCGCTACACCCCGAATGCCCAGAGCCCGAAGCACCCTGAGCCAGGTCGAAATGCGAGCCCACAACTTCTCCCGAAGCCGAGACTGCCGCAGTCCCCCCTCCGATTTTGGGGGTTTCGGTTTTGAAGCATTCGGGGTTTGGAGTTGGGCGTGAGGCTCTAGGCGCTCCATTGGGAGATTCAGCGATTTCGATGCCTGAAGAACAAGAACAACCCAGAAGCCCCGGATTCGAGAGCCCATCCGAGCCTCGGCAAAGAGGTTCAGGGAGAAGGCATACTGAGGCTCCTGCTTCCCACGGGTTAGTCATGGGTCCTAAGGAGCTTAGGGTTCAGATGTATATAGCGGTCCATGCAGTCTCAACCCCAAATTCTTAAAGCGTCTCTGTTGAGACAGGTAATTAGACCCTGACCCCGAACAGGCTGTTTAGCTTCACGCCTGAACCATGCACCCAATTATGACTCAACGCGATTTCGGAAGTAGGGCTTACGGCCACTTTTGCGGTGATGCACACGTCCTCCAGATGCGCGGTGACCTGCACAGGGCGCAGCACAAGGCAGGCCGGGCTTGCAAATCTGTAAGCATTGACTCCTCCTTTCGTCGGTATGCAACGACACTCCCAACTCCTGGAACCATCACAATTTTTTTATGAAAAGGACGTGCTCTGACTCGGACCTCTACTCGCGGCCGCGGCTCCGTCATGGCGACAGACTCAGCCTCACTCGGGCCCTGTCAGGTGGCAGCCACCTGTGTGCCATCTTCCGCATGCTATGATATCTACTACACTATAGTCCATGTAAGTCCATGTACGTACTACACCCTGACACCCTAAGCCCTCAACCCGAAACCAGCGTGTAGGTTCTTGATTTTCACATCCTCTTGCCTTGAAGCACGGAAGCGCCGAAGGATTGCAAGACTTCTCTGGGTTAGGGCCCCCTACCCAGACTTCGAGTCTATAGGAAGAACAGTGACAGCATCCTTCCTATGACACGACCCTCGGCTCCAGCCCGCATCTTTTTGTGCCGGATGGGTGTGCACACTCGGCGCTTCGCACCACTGGACATGAAAAAGATGCCGAAAGGCGGTGCCATCGACTTCCGATCTTGCAAGGCATGCAAGGCTCATTCTGAGCCTCTAGGGATCTCCCAGCTTAGGCGGTCCTGGAAAGTCCCCAAACACCTGGAGACAAGTTACCCACAAATGCAGCCGTCCGGCTTTCGCTTTTGCCACGCAGCCGCCTCGTATGAAGCTTCCTTTCGAGTGCCACTACTTCGCCGCTGTCGTGGCCCGTCCGCTGCGCCCCGAACACCTCTGAAAGTGCCAGATTAGCTTCCAGCTCTGCGAATTGACATGCTGCACCCCGATTGTAGCTGAAGCTGGACATCCGCATGCAAGGGCCACAAGAAGCTTCGTGGTGTTTCGTGGCTGGCTGAGTGCTGAGCAGGAAAAAAGCATACACCCCAAAGTCGTCGCCCCGAAATACGACTAAGCCGCCTGTGCAACCCATCATTCTAAACCCCAAACCCAAACTCCTCCAGCCCTATTCCCTACACCTTGAATCCCAAACACCAATCTCCCCAAAACCTGAAGCATAAACTCTCAACTCCTTCAACTATAAACCCTAACCTTGGACCCTCTTCAATCCCAACTCTACCCCAAGCATACCTTGAACACGATGCCCAGGCGGTCGTAGTCTGCAGTCCGCAGAGCTACCTGTTCGGCTGCCTTTCAGAGCTTCTGGGGCTTCGGAGATTCTGGGTTGTTTTCCCGGAGGACTTCAGGCTTGGGGTTTCGACTCTCGCAACTCGCACATGGCCGCGGCAAGGCTTTGCACAAGTCTGAGCAACCACGGAGGCTTGGGATTCAGGGTTGTTTGGGTCAGGGTCTGGAGTTTTAGGATGTAGGGAGGGGCATGAGACTCGGCAGTTGACTTTGCAGCCTCTCGTCGGAAGTGTCGGAAGTGTTAGCACGGTCGAGGGTTGTCTCAGGCCTCGTCAACTGCAGAGTCTATGGCTGCTTTGGGCCTAGGGCTTCGGTCTGTGGAGGAAGCAGAGAGGTCGAGGTATTGTCAGCTTGAAGTAAGGGTCTGACTAGCGGTAGCAGTGATATACAGAAGAGCCATCAGCTCATTCAAACCAAAAATGCTAATAACAACAGTACTAACAATAATGGTAAGAAGCGGGTTGAGAATGCGAATAATACAATTCCTAATCGTCTTTGCATACTTACACCATCCAGTACCGCAAAAACCAATTGCAATCATTATGGGTTTATGGGCTCAGAGGTTAAACCTCGGCCACGGGGCTCATGGAAGGCGTAAACATGAGCATACATCATGTTTCGCACTGCGCTGCACTCATTTATGCTCCAAGCCGTGACAAACCGCTATAACCCTTTAACCATTGTAAGCCTCGAACCCCATACACCCCAAACGTATATGGGGCTGAAGCTAAAAATTATATACAACTTGACAAACCTCATTAAGGTCTGCAAGGTGTAATTTTTTCGGCTTCAGTAAGCCCGGGTGTGGACAAACATTCCAGAACCTACGTCCCAAAGCCGATGGAGCCAAAGCCTCCTCATGGCTTTTGGCGCCGCAACCCGGGGCTAAGCAGCCCTAAGCCAGACCCCAAACCCCCAACCCCACAGCCAGGAGAAATGAGAGTTTCCACAAGCTGGGTGTCTGACCGAAGTCGTCCAGAGACGCCCGTCGAAGTCCTTGCGCCTGCAAAATATAGGAGCCTTTATCTTAGGAAAGGGTGTAAGTGTGTAAGGATATGTATGCTGTAAGTTAACATGCAGGGACTGCCAAAAAAAATGTCAGCACTAAGTTTTCAAGCCTCTATAGTTGTTGGCTCACAGATTGCTAGCGATTCGTGCCAACATCATCGCCGCAGCTGAAATTAGCTCAAAATTCGCAGACTCCACCTGGCAGCTTTTTGTGGGAGCGTCCGCAAGGTCTGAAACGCGCAACTAGCTCCCAAACTCCTTACCGATCCCTAGACCCAGAAACCTGAGCCTGAACCCCTGAGCCCTGCACGAAATCGTCGCTTTTTCCTTCGCTCTCAGTCGTGCACGAGTCGGGAACGGTGCATGTGCCGGAGCTCAGATTGCATTCTAGCCGCAGGTGCCGATGACCCGATGCTGCCCCATCCCCATGTCCATCTTGGCAGGCTTCGACACCGACAAAAACCCTCTGTCTCCTCTCCCCACGTCACGGCGACTACAGGAATCGAAAGATATGACAAGTGCAACCTGCGAGGTCAGACTCCCGACACCCTACACCCACCCCCCCCTGTGTAAGGCAAATCGCCAATAATATTGTATTTGGGTGGATTTCAGGGAAAAAAAAAACAAGCCAAGGGGCCCATTCCCCGTTGCAGCACGCTTTGGGGCCCCATTGAACTTCGCCTTCCGCTCGGAAGTCGTTTGGTTTGCTCCCGGAGGGGAAGCAGCACCAGTTCTTGCCCTGGCGGGCGAGGGGCTTCCAAGTCGGGTCGGAGACACTTTTTTTGGTTTTAGGGTCGGCCCTTTCGCTAGGGTGCAAGGCTTCAAGATCTTCATTGGGGGTGGGCATCACTCCTCCTTTCCTAAGGCTTGAACTTGGCCTAGCCCTGGCACCTCCGCGGTACAAGTCGTTCTAGTACGTCAACCCCACAAACATTGGATTTGTGCCGGCACACCGCATCGGTGAACTGGACACCCCCAATTTGGGAGCGCCGAAACGCACCTAGCTGACTGAGCCCACTCAACCTTACAAAACACCCCCCTCCCCGGCCCTCCCCAATCTGCCCAACCGGACGTACTGGCCGCCAAGGCCACTGCCGAGATGCACCTAACCCCCACCGCCTGCGAAACAAAACAGCACGGATAGTTTATGGTTGAGCCGCTTATTAGCGAGCAACACCTCTGATCTCAGTTTCCCTCCCATCCTGTCCTGGCCGTTTCCCCAGCATTGCATCCCCGCGCCACATTCGCCACCAACTCGGCGGGGCGGGTTTAGAACCGGGCTTACACTGCGGTTTGGGGCTTATACGAGGGCTTGAGGCTTGTCATTGGGGCTTAGGGCATGGGGTTGACGGCGTTGGGGATTCGGCTTGGCTGCATCTTTGTTTGATACACGGGAAGCCCTCAGCAGTGCGGCAAAGCATTGCTTTAGTTGGCGGTACCCACATGCTGCTGCCGGCTGGAGATTGGCCTGGGTCCGTGCCGTGTGCATACCACTCGTCCGAGCCAGTTTGTGGTCCAAAAAAAGACTATGTCACTCGAAACAAGGACCGCAAAAAGGACCCTAGTTCAGAGCAGACGGTCCTCTAAGCCAAACATGCCTTGACCACCAAGCTCTTCGCTCAAGTCCCTTTACGCCATCCGCACATCAAGGCGAAGGCGCTCATCTTCTGGCTGCACTCCTCATGCAGCTTCTTTGGCTCAGAGCTGAGGTGCCCATGTTCGGCCTCGGGCAGAAGGGGGGCTTGGACAGGTAGCTCGGGCTTAAGGGGTTTAGGGTTTAGGATTTGGAGTTCAGGCAGTTTAGGATTTCCGAGAGGCATTTGCCGGGAGTGCGCAGCTCCACAATGTATATCCCTGGTGAATACTCCCCCCTACCCTTCATCTTGTAAAGCCCTCTGAGGGAGTGGGTGTTCTTTCAATCAAGGGGGCTACATTGACTGACGCTGGAAGCCGCCAAGCCTGTAAGACTTAGAACCCGGAACCACGCACACGACACCTTATCCCTAAGATATACAAACCAAAGCCTATAGACAAACAACTCGCGAAACCCACAAACCCCAAGCCCTACTGTAAGCCCTGAAGTGCCGTCAAAACAAACCCGAACCCTTAGGCCTTAGACGGCCCGTAAAGAAGAAACCATAGCCCTTCTCTGGGCCCGCAGCACTGGGCCGAGCCCCGTGGCTGGCGGTCAGTGCGCAAGCCACAAGGAGAGAGAAGGTCCGCATTGCCTGGGCGACGGTCGGCTTTGAGTTGAGGGTTTATGCGATGAGGCTTGTGGATGTTTGCGGGGGGGGGGGGGGTGCNNGGGGTTTTAGGGTTTGGGGGTCTTGGGCTTGTGAGGCTTTCGGGGCTTGCTGAAACAAGATCACCTGGGCCACTCGCAGTAAAGCTGCGGTGACAACGGTTGCAGGTGACTCGAATTCGCCCAAGCAACGTGGGATGTTGGAACAGCATGAACAAGGTAACGGCGCCTGTACACGCGCCTATGTGTTTTTGCACATCTCAGGATGAGGAGTTCTACATGGATTCGCGC